TTAAATGTTTTCTAAAAAATAAGTCCAGATTGCAAACTTTCCATCCAACAAGCTGAAATTTCTTCAGAACAGATATTTTGGCTGTTATATTCTAGACTCCACTGAACATTGAATTGAGGAAAGCTCAACAAAGACTGAGTTTGGTATCAATCAGGGAGAAAAGGGCAGACTTTTTTTAAACCCTTGTGTGGCGCACAGGCCACAAAGAATGCAAGTTAGGTGCCTTTTACACCTTTCTATTTTTCACTTATCGCTTTTTACTTTGTGTTTGTGGCGGCCCCTTGTGCCGTCCCTCGAGGAGCCATTCTCGAGGTTTTCCGTTTTCTACTGTTTATATAAAGCTTAGTGAAAGTTGTAAAATAGATGTTTACTGCTCGCGAAGCAAACTCTCTGACACATCCTTTTTCTTCCTTCTTTTACCTCCAATTTGATTTGACCAGGTGCAACCTTAAGGGGCGACCTTAAGGTTGCACCTAGAGCATGAAAAGGCTCCGACCGCTGGAGACAGGGGGTGTAAAACCCCCCGGAGCAGCGACACCTTTAGCATGTTTTAGGTGACGCGCGACTATCGTGTGGAGGACAGGGGTCGCCGACAGGCGGTTCAGACTACCAAAAAGTTCGTTGAGGTAAAAAGATTATGTCGAGGATTCGCTAATCTTCGCATGGAGTTTTTGAATCAGAGGATTACTAGTCTTATCCAGAAAGTTCGGGAAAGTTCGAGAAAGGCGGAGAAGGGAAAAAAAGTGAGTGAAAGTGTTCCCATAGTGACATCCCGATGTGAGTGGCCAGCTCACATCGAAATGTGAAGACGCTTTGCGCATGGATGGTATCGGATATCTCCCATGAAAATGTGTTGCGTAAAGACCCTGCTGCCAAATGCGGTAAAGTAGCAAACTGGCACGGGTGTAACGTAAACGAAACGAAAAACGGAAACGAAAACGAAAACGTAAATGAAAGCGAAACGATGTGAAAGCGTATGAAAAAGTGAAAACGTCGTCAGTGATAAGATGCGGAAATCGAAAGTTGAATGGAACATTCCGGTTTGATGCATTGATGCGTTTGTTGCTTCTTGAAGGAACTTGAATTGCGCGAGTTGTTGATTGTGAAATTCCCGTATACGGAGGATTGACTTGGTGACGGTTGACGTTTTTTGTGCGAGAACAGCTTTGTGCAAGGATTGCTTCACAATGGCATGTGGAGGCCCTTCAAAGACACCTAAGGAAGCGCAGGGTATGTAAACTGAAAAGACGCAAAGGATTAGTAAATTGATGCATTGTCATTTGTGAATACACAGAGGAGCTGACGGAATTAGTCAGAAGAATTCAAACAATCGATGTAAACTCAAGGAAAAGAGGGCATAACGGTGCCGAAGGAGCATCTCTGGACGGTGAAACATCGATGATGTCTGAACTAAACCAACTTAAAGGGGTAAAGTCACTTTCGATTGAACAACGTCTTCGGTTGGCGAGATTTCTAAAGGTTCGTCTGTTTCTGTGACTATTTTGTACGACTTCATTCGGACTACGAGAAAGGGGAAACAGAATAAGAGGGAATGAAGAATTGGTTTGTAATTTTAAATTTGTGTGAAATAGGTGATGCAAAGTGAATTTGTAGCCGAGTCGGAATTACGAGGTGCAGAGAGGGAGCTACGTTTAAAGAAGGTGCGCATCGCGGAAATCGGAGAGGAGTGTATGCTTTTGGAGAATAACGCGATAAAGCTGAAAGGTACTGAAGATGATTTGAGAGAGAAAATTATGAAGGATCAACTTTTGCTGGATCGAGCAAGGGAACTTCAAAGAGAAGCTGACAACGCTTTGAAAGAAGCATTTCAACGAGTGTTAATCAGTGATGCTTGTTCAATAAACGAGGCGTTAGGTTCAGGACGTTGGTATCTTGCCAATGATGTATCGTTTACGGGACGTGAAGAAAGTGAGTGTAATCCGAATGAGCTAGAAGAAATCATATATTCCGAAACCTAATTAATTCTTAATGATGAATGATAGATGGTGTGACGACCCTTCGATTCCGTGATGCTGAATTGGTGTTGGGGCCTAGTGACGGTCTCTTACTATCATGGATTCGAGATATGAACAAGGGGTTGCTTCCTACGAGAATTGCGAGCGTACCAGAGGAGACTGCTCCAAATACTTGACAATATTCCTCTTCATAACTCCATGTCGGACACTAGCCGCTACTATTTTAGCATCACTTAATACGTGTTTCACTACGATCAAGACATGCTTGGCTTAAGCTCGATGATAGCCTACCATTTCAACGTTTGACTTGAATCTTTTAAGATAAATGACCGCATCACTAATTAAACAAATACATACAAAATACTACAGAATGTCTACATTAAACATTTTATAAGGACTACTGTTTTAAGCACGGACTCTTACTCTACGTTATAAAACGGAATGCGTCGCGCGCAATGAAGATTACGGATCGTCTACTCGATTTATTGGGAGACTGGAAAATCCCATTGCCTATTCCTGGCTGTGTCTTCGAGGATTTCGGATTTGCTACGGATGACTATGGATTCACTGGGCCCTTACGGGAAAATTCGGATCTGCCAGCAATCCTAATTCTAAGTACGTCTATGACGAGTGGATGGGGACTTGGTGAATGGGTTTTTCGAACAAGGATTGCGGATTTTCAAAATATGCGGCGACCGATTCCAAACTTTGCATATTTGACAGCAGGGATGAAAGTTGAAATCAATCAGGTTAGTGTTAAGACATGGCGCAAAAAATAACAGAAAAGTATATGTCATGCTATTAATAGGTATCGATTAGTGGATGGTGTGCGGTGATGCGACGCAACAGTCTAACGATGAAGGCATTGCGGGACGTGATATTCAACGGGTTGCATTTGGGACCCAATTACAAGTTTGCTCAAATCTACTTGCGTATCGGCACAAATGATGTGAAGGGCCTGTGCACCTTCAAGTATTATGACGTCCGTTTTCCAACTTTTGAAGCCTTTTACAAAGAATATGAGCAGTTCATGGGAAATCTCGTAAAGGCCTTTGCTTGCAACGTGTTTGCTTTGGTAGCAGCTCCGCCTTCTGCATCACCATTATTGGAGAGACCTACAAGTGTGGCGTTGGATGCTGACCAAAATGGCTTACCATTAGTACCTTTGAGGTGCTTGGATAATGTTGACCTTGTGGAGGAAGAAGATAGGGAGAGAGCTGGTCGCATTTATCTAAACGAAATTTACAGGCGATTAGCAGGTATTGATGGGGTCATGAACGTTGTTGATGCAGAAAGAAATCTGGGATGGATCGCTCTGCCTACACCCATTGATGGGCTGAGGGCGTATAGCAGTGGACGTGGAAAATTAACAGATTTTGGGCACATTACACCTTCTGGTTACCTGATTTTTGCTAAGTATCACTGCATTTCCATGTGGCGTGGGATTCGAATGTTACCAGGCTATGAAAAGGTAGTGGGACGAATCTGCTCAGGCCAATACCCTAGACGGCTTGATGATGGAACAGTGGCAGTGGGTGTTGCTCCTGATAATCTGCACGGGCATAGTGGATCTTTTGGACCAGTTTCAGACTGCGTTGGACCATTAGTTCCCACCGGAAATATGTAAGTTGAAACTTCAATTTTATGAATTTTTTGACGTGGGCAGGAGATTTGATAGTTAACAAGGTACACACAGTATAAGAGAAAAAGGAAAAGAAGGGAAATGCAAATAGAAGACTAACATATTGTTTGTGATTTAATTTGTTTTAGTGATCTTGCCAAGTTACGAAAGTTCGACTTTGACGAATGCTTCCTGACTGACGCTGCTACAAGTAACGCTCGGAGTCAGTCAAAAATTGAAGTTGGGGACATAGTGCGAATTCGAAATGTGAAGGGGACCAGAATCGTCGTATCCCGAACTCCTACTGGTTTTTGGACGGTTGGTTTTGGAGGTCAACTGTACGTGGAGTCAAGTGATGTTGTACTTGCTTCTGAAACTGTTTGTTTGATGGGTGATGAGTAGGGGGTGTGAACGTGACTATGATGTACGTACGTGCGCGGCTTATACGAACTGATTGCGTTGTGATTGTGTCTTTTTTCGATTTTTGAGGGGATGAAATGATCTGGGAGACGACGAAAAAATTTTTTTTTTTTCGATCTGATTGTTTAAACTTTTGTTTACATTTGCCGGATATCAAAGGTCAAAGTCGTACGTTCGAAACGGGTATTCTCATTTTTGTGAAGGTCTTTGTTATAAACATGACGTGTTACTACTTTCAATTTGTCTTTGATTCCAATAGGGTGATTAGACTTGCCTTGGCATTGACGTATTTTTCTGACTGATCAACTTCCATTTCCATCGGGATGAGATTTTGAATAGATTGATTTGGGAGTATCTGATTGACACATGTTCCATCATCATTTGTGTGTGTGATAACGACATCAACTGATCGAATTAGTCCATCACGGGGACTCGTATTTACCTTGTGGATTCTGCATAAACGCCATCTCAGTCGATCCAGGGGTGAGTTTTGCTTAAATGAATGATTAATGAGTAAAACAAGTTGATCTTCTTTTGGGACAAGAGGCGAATTTTTTATTTTGTAGGGGTATTTGCGCAAAGATTTGACATAGGAGTTGAAAAACGTACGCCATATTTTTTCAACGACTTTAATGCGGTACAAGGTTTGATTGGTATATTCGCCCTTATCATTTGTTTCAAGAAATTCCAAAGCCCTTGGTCCATAGTGTAAGGAGTTACTATTCCAATCAGCTAGGTGAGGATGTAAAAACATGGCAGGGGTGATGATTAATGGTGACTCTCTATCGTCAGATATATA